GAGTCAACCTTGAGCTGGTCAAGATCGAACTCCTGGTAGTGGGCAGAGTTAGCCTGCAATACAGCATTCTAACCACTGCAACACCATGGCTGCTAACCTCCATTCCTCCTGTACACCTCCATTAGAATTCCCATGTATTCATATCATCTTTTTAAACACTCCAGTTCTATTCCCTCTATTTCCCCCTTTATATTATTGCTCCTTGTAATCTTTATCAAACCTTCCTCCAAGCATGATTTTCAGAAACATTCTCATTAATATAAATGGTATCTTTTTTCCTAAATCCAATTTTAGGAATGTCAGGAATTTGGGGGCAGGGAAGAGACATAAGTATAGAAGGACAGAATTATACTTTTCCATCCAACTATGATTTACTCTCTCCAAAATGCCCCACTGCAGCATCCTGAATTAAGAAAAGAAAAAACCACTGATACACATATATTCTTCAAATTAACTGCCTTATGGGGAATGAAAAAAATCTGGCAATTATAGTTTTCCAACATGTTCAGGAAATGTGTCATTCGGTCTACTTTATTCATCAGGACTTCTACAGCATTCAGATAAGTAGTTTTGTTTCATATCTATGTATGGAAAGTACAATTATGTATCTAGTTCAGTATAATTCTGTAGAGCACAAAAGTTAATGGCTATAATTGTATCAATATATTTTACTGCTAACATTTTTCGATATAGTGAATATAACCATCTCAAAATAGTAAGTTGAACATAAAATATTTTTTCTCTGACTGAACTGATTAAACTTAAAGATAGAATGTTCACCTTGAAAAAACCCATTGATGGATTCTCCACCCGTCATGCTGGAGAAAGTATTGTTTGAAAACCAACCTTAAATGTTTACAAGAAGGGTTGCCAGTTATACAACAATAAGTAGGAAAACACAGCAAACGTAACTTAAATTACAGCCATAGTTTTCAATAGCCAGTAAAGCAAAACTACAGCAATGGAAGACAACCCAGGAGAAGATGAGACAAATTTCTTGGAAACTTGTGATTCAATTGTTGCATTTCTGTACTGCTTGGTTCAACAATCTGTCTTGCATGGAGGAGGAGACCACACTGCTTGTCAGCTGTGAATCAGGAGAAGATCTGTCCTGGAAGAATTAAGCAACCAGCTAGTTGCATTTGAGGCTGGGTAGCATGGGTAGCAATGGAAGTTATCCCTTTGGGATATGCCACTTTGGAGTAACATAAAAATGAGGGCTGTAACCCTAACTGGTGTGGTGTGGGTGTTTGTGTGAAAGTATAAATGGCCTGAAGCTGTCCCCAGCAGAAACATGGTTGATTAAGCCCAACCATCTCTGCTGGTATAAGAACAGGAACTCACTGGGAGTGATGATATAAGCTTGGTTGACACATTAGGGAATATCCTCAATCTTTCAGGTGAGCTACAATGTACTGAACTTTCCGGATGGCCCCGATATGATTCTGAGTTGAAAGACTCACCATTTGTTTTGTTTCTTAAAGGTATCTCTTTCAATACCATGTTTCCCAGAAAATAAGATTGGGTCTTATATTAATTTTTTGCTCCAAAAGACTAGTTAGGGCTTATTTTCAGGTTAGGGCTTATATTCAGGGAAATATGGTACTAAATGCGTCCGTCTGGGGCTTATTTTTGGAGTGGGACATATTATGAGCCTCCTGAAAAATCATGCTTGGGCTTATTTTCCGGTTGGATCTTATTTTAAGGGAAACACGGTACTTGATTTGCCTGTTAAATAGCTACTGGAACTATTCATTCAGCACTTCATCAGGGGTGGGGGGAAGTATATATATCTATTGAATCCAGAGCAGCAATTACAGTAGTAATGCAGAGTAGCATTCTTGGTGTTGACAAGTTAGCAATCTGTTACAGGAGAAAACAGATTAAAAATGGAAATGCTATTCCCCCTTTTATCTTTCAGGCTTTGAGCCCAGTAAAGTCTTGATCTTTTGTAATAGCAGATGAGCTCAACATAAATCAAAGATAAGGAAGCTAATTGGGTCTATGTAACAGAAGAACGACTGAGGGAAACAGATGGGCCAGTATGGATTCAGTTTATTCCAACCAATAGTAAAGCAGGGAAAATAGTATTACTCCAATCTACAAGAACAGTAGCTCTCACTGAAAGCCAATGGGTTTATACTGAGTGTGTGTACCTCAGTTGTGGAAGCAGGGATAGGTTGAGGACTCTATCGTTCTGTGCAGTGCTTAATGAAATCTGTGACTGAGCTGGTGATAGAATCTCCCAGAGTGTTAGATAACTTCATGATCTATTTTGTGGTTTGTTTCTTCTGATAATAGAAATTTCTGGCAACCATGACTATACTGAGCCTATCCAAATTAGTTACATGTACTTCTGCATATAGCCAGTTCAGCATTTGATCTGAAATTTCAAGTGGAGCAGGAGTCAATTCTTTGAAATGCACTTAACTAGGTTGAAGGGCTTAATCTTTGCTGGCTTTTTATAAGCTCCTAAAACAGTGGTTCTCAACCTTTTTATAGCCACGACCCCGGTCGTAAGTCGAGGACTACCGGCCCGGGAGCGCCGCACATGCGTGGTGCCGCCCCCTGCACCGGCTGAGGCATAGCCGGCAAGGGGCGGCAGCAGGCAAGCCCGGGCGTTCCTGGGCGGCCGCGGCAGGCAGGGCGACCAGCGGCTGGGCCACCATCTGGCCCAGCCCAAGGCAGGTAAGGCACCCGCCGGGCCCCATGCGCGCCAGCAACCCTCCCTGCGCCCACCGCTGCCCCACTAGGCTTACCTTGGCCGCCGCCCATTTGGGGCGGCGGCAGGCAGGCCCAGGCACTCCTGGGCGGCCGCGGCAGCGGCGGCGCAGGGCGACCACCGGCTGGGCCACCAGCTGGCCCAGCCCAAGGCAGGTAAGGCACCTGCCAGGCCCCACGTGCGCCAGCAACCCTCCCTGTGCCCGCCGTTGCCCCGCTAGGCTTACTTTGGCCGCCGCCTGTTCAGGGGGGCGGCAGGCAGGCCCAGGCGCTCCCGGGCGGCTGCAGCAGCGGTGGCGCAGGGCGACCACCGGCTGGGCCACCAGCTGGCCCAGCCCAAGGCAGGTAAGGTACCTGCCGGCCCCCACGAGTGCCAGCAACCCTCCGCCCACCGGCCTCCCACCTCCCACCCCTCTTTTACTTACTTTTTAGTTGTTCAGCAGGGAGGGAAGCTCTGCAGACTGTTCCCCTTGCAGCACTGTTTGCAGACTGGGGCTTTTGGCGGGCTCAGCAGGGCAGAGACAGCCCTGGACAATTCCTGTTGGCTTTTGAAAGCCAATAGAATTAGACTCTGTTCAAGAGAGTCTATTCTATTGGCTTTCGAAAGCCAATAGAACAAGAGGGAGTAGCAGAGCTAAGGAAAAGGGGGGGAAAATGGCAGAAAAACTGGCGGATTACGTTGTTTGGCAACCCCCGTGAAATGGGGTCGCGACCCACAGGTTGAGAACTGCTGTCCTAAAACCTAGCCTTCTCTTTAATTGTTTTTAGTAACTTCAGGTTTAATTGTAGATTTATGTTTTTACTGAAAAATGCTGAAAGAACTTGCAAGCAAACGTAGTTTAGTAAATAATAATAAAATAATATGGTTCTGTCTCATGATTAAATATTTTTATTCATATTATTTATTAAAATTTGACCGTTCCTGTTTATAAAGTAGATGAAACTCAGAATGTCTATGGAGATTCTCAATCATCCATGTCATGGTTGTCCCAAAGGTGCTTTTTCAAGAGGCAACTGGACTTCCTTGTTTTTCTTTGAAGATGTTTTACTTCTCATCCAAGAAGCCTCTTCAGCTCTGACTGGATGGTGGGGAATGGAAGGATTTATATTTATATTAATATAAATCCTTCCATTCCCCACCATCCAATCAGAGCTGAAAAAGCTTCCTGGATGAGAAGCGAAACGTCTTCAAAGAAAAACAAGAAAGTCCAATTGCCTTTTGAAAAAGTACCTTTGGGTGAAACTCAAGAAATGCACTTCGCTTCCTAACAGGATTCTTTCTTCTCTGCAGTCCAAATGCATTCTTAAATCTATTCTAGAGTTAGTAGAGTTCCTAAAATAAGAAAAACAGACAAGAAGCTATGGGGATAGGAATTTCCCACCTTCAAATCTCAAGGATGAAATTTATACTGTTATTGGAAAGTATAGGTTAGCGTTCTAACTACACTATTTATTTGTAATTGTCTATACATAAACTTTCAGTTTAATTGTTTTCTAGTTAGGGAACTTCAGAAGTTCAGACACAATGCCCTGAAATAATGGACTTCCCCATTATGTGGGAAAGCAATCTGGAAAGTGGTTTCTGCTTCCCCTAAATAAATTTCGTCTGTGCATGGATCAGGTTTGAGTCCAGGTGAGAGAAAGGTGGAAGGGAAGTCTGGGCAGATAGTGGTTGATACGCTGGGACAAAGTAGAAGAAGGAAAGACTGGAAAGATAAACATGTAATGAGTTAGAGCAGTGGCTAAGTGGGAGGGAGGTAATCTACTGGGAAGACTAGCCAGATGAACAAGATAGGAAGGGACAGCAGTGGAAGTGGCAGTTCCGGGTTTTTCTTTTCCTGCTTCACCATCTTTACCACTATAGCAAAGTTAAAGGTTATATCTCCTTTGAATCAAGCTCGTTCCTGATGACTACGTGGACACAACCATCCAGTTTCCTTGGCACCTACAGTAGGAAGTAAGTTTGTTCATCTTTTCTTCCAGCATGTTTTTCAACTTCCCTGGTAGTCTCTCACCTAGGCACTAAGTAGCTCCAGACCTACTTAGCTTTCTAGCTTAGACAAGATCAGCCAGCTGCTACTAAGAAAAGTGTGTAGATGTGTCACTGAAGTCAGTAGGAATTTAGTCTAACTGATCAACATTAAAGCAAATGCAAAACTGTGACTACAGATTCCATCCAAGGTTCTTTTTAAATGGTTAATCACTCTGAGAAATATTTGAAATGGAAGAACAGTCTAAAATGAAGATAAAAGCTTATGATGTCACTCTAGAATGCTAACCTGTTGAATTATTTTGGAGTCTTTCTGCAGGTTCTCTTTCGGGGGAACTTTTCCAAATAACTTCCAGCCAGGAGCACTATGGATACCAGGCCTGAGTTCCTTTGTTCTTTTGGTAAAGAAGTTCCTGTAAAAAAAAATAAAAAATCAAAATGTAGATTTTTCACTACATTAACAGACTGAAACAAAAAGCTGCCTTATCTAAAAGGGAGTATTATATATTATTAATTTTACAGCAATTGGAAAATCTTTTATTTATTCCGACTAGAATGGAATGAAATAAGCCTGTTTTTCTAGTTTCAATATTTAAAAGAACAAGGATTAAATTAATGCAAACGTATCACTGACATTAAAAATAAGCCTTTCATATGCTACATAGTACAAACATCACTGAAATCAAGTAAAAGAAACACTAATATCCCAGTAAAAGTTCTTTCCCTTGATATTTTAAGTTTTGTAATATAAAGTCCTCAATTACTCACAATATATAATATAAAATACAAATGTAGTTATAACAGTAAACAAAATTAACTTAGAAGTTTAGAGGAAATAACTTATTTTGTGTTATAATAACATTGTTGTATAACAATCAGTTATATACTTCTGAGCTAGAGATCCATTCTCCCTGTTAAACACAACTTTATTGTTTTCTTCTATGAAATCCATGAAATAAACATTTTCTATATTCATAGAATAACATAAGGAAAAAGCTAGAAAAACACACACATACCACAAATGACATTTTGCATAGATAATTATAAATATGATTTTTGTGTGTGACAAGGTACAGCCAACTCCAAAAATATGATAATGTTTTACCAGTTTCATATATACATGCATGACAAGAAATTCAAGTGATATATGGGAGGAAAGACAGGCTTTAGGAGAAGCAGAAATCTAATTTTGGGAAGTGGTACCTACAGTATATTACCATGCTGCCTCTGAAATAACAAGAAACTTAACTTGCACAATCAATATGTGTGGTTATTCAGAGAAACTGCAAGCACTGAAGCCATTTGTGAAAGTCATCATTCTTCTTTGTTGAATAGTAGCAGTCTCCCTGTCCTATGCAGTTTTTGCTATTTCTAGGAAGAAATAACAATCTCTCGTCTTCTGTACTGCAGCATGAAGATTTAAAATGGAAGTTCTTTCAAATGTTGTTTAGTCAGCAAAAATTTAACACAAAAAGCAAGCATTTTTGTGGATGTACTGCAAACAAACGAAAATGAACATTTTGTATTGTTGATTGAACAAAACTTCAAGCATAGCAAGCAATACTACCGGACACACACAATTTCACGGTATGGCTCTCCTCCTGGAAGACAACACACAAATCCTAATACTTATGCCATACGTTATGGCATTGCAGGTGATCAGATGGTTTACAGCCATTTGTTTAGTGACTGTTCCAACGTTACAACAACGCTAGAAAAGGTGATTTATGATCAGTCCTCACAGTGTTCCTGGGTGATCACCATTTGTGACTTCCGAGTCAGTTTCCGACAAGTGTGATCAATGGCGAAGTCAGCAGAAATGGTTGCAAACTGCAGTCACATGATGCCTCGTTTAAGGACTGCACTGCTAAACAACAAATTTTCTGGTCCTAATTGTGATTGCAAATCAAGGACTACCTGTATATATTTACAGTGCAATCAAACTAAGAAATTCAACCCTTGGAATATAGCTTAATCACACATTAAAGAATATTTATGTGCAATTGTTTACAGATTTGAAATATTAAAAAGAATAAGGCATTGTAGAAATGTAGACAGCCTTTTGGTCATTACTTAAGTTTTTTTTTTTTTTTTTTGAAAAAACAACGGCTTCCAGAGCCATGATGGCACAGTGGTTAGAATGTAGTACTGCAGGCTAATTCTGCCGGCTTCTGGCTGCCAGCAGTTCGATTCTCAAGATTGACTCAGCCTTCCATCCTTCCGAAGTTGGTAAAATGAGGACCCAGATTGTTGAGGGCAATATGCTGACTCTGTAAACCGCTTAAAGAGGGCTGTAAAGCACTGTGAAGTGGTATATAAGTCTAAGTGCTATTGCTTTTGCTTCCAAACATTTCCTGTTGCCAACTAAGAGTCTTCCCATTTGTTTAGAATTCTTCCCACTCCTCCTTGCAGAACTCTGCTAGTTCAGAAATATTCTCAGATACATTGCTATTTAGTTGAATCCATACTTCTGCTTGGCCACATAGTGTTTCCTGTGCTGTTGGCTGTCACACAACCCCAAAGCATAATAGAGCTGCTCCTGAGCTTAATGGTTGCCAGGGGACTCTTTCCTTGAAATGCTACACTCCTTTTCCCTGAATGTATCTTGCATAGTTTCAGCCAGGTTTTTTTCCTTTCATCTGGTTCTAAAATATCTCAGGCTACTCAAGGTTTTCTTTTGTATACAAATAATCCTTGTGTCAACGCTGCTAATATTGAATATTACCGCTTAATCTTCACCTACTCCCCACCTTACCACGCCTGGGAGGGCACAGCCAGTTACAGGACTCAGCAGTTCATGTAAAGTTGCCATGGACTAGGTGGCCTGGGCCAGCTACTATAGGCCCCACCCGTATATAGAAAGCCACCACAGGCAGGGAGGGCCAGGCCAGCTACATGGCCCAGCAGTGCACATCAATTGCTCTACTTATTTTTGCATTTTTATGCAGTTGCTGACAGGCACAGTCTTCCTACAGAGACTCCCTCATACTATTCTGCAAGCAGATGCCATTCTCACAATTGTTCAGAAGGCCCTGTGTGCCAGTGGCCCCTATAGCACCTGTCCTGAGCCACCCAACATGCAACAACTTTCCATATGCTGGTGGGCCCTGAAAAAGGCCTCCTCCCCATGCTTTGCTTAACAACTTCATGTGATCAAACAACCAGATTGGGAGAGCCAGGATTGTGGTCATTGAGTGAAGCAGTCACATGATGCCTTAACAACTACTTCATCCAACAATGGAAGATTCCAAGCTCAATTTTGGTTATAAGTTGAGGACTATGTGTATCGTACAACTGACTTTTGTTTGGTGTCCAGAAAAAAAAATCTGACACTTCTCACATGAAGATCATTGTTGTATAAGCAATCCTATACTACGGACCTGCAGACAACCTCTTTAGTGTCAGCTAAATTTTTCAGCAATTATCTAGAGCAGAGGTCTCAAAACTGCCAGCCCGCAGGCCGGATGTGTCATGCCAAAACCGCGCCCACCCCATTGCCGGCAATGGAAAAAAAAGTCGCAATACGTCGCGACACGTCCAGTTTGGAGGCAGTTGTAATCGAGATTTTTCTTGGCCTTGAGACCGATGACCCAGTCAGTGAATAAGCTGAAGCTGAACACCAACTTGATATTTCAGCAAGGCAACAATCCAAAACATACCTCCAAAGTGGCCATGAAATACTTCCAGGAACAAAAAAGACAAAAATCTTGGAATAACCTTTGCATTCTCCAAACTTGACTATTACTGAAAATCTGTGAGATTTCAAACATGTAGTGTAGGTAGGAAGCCCAAGAATATTTCTGAGTTAGAAGAATTCTGCAAGGAACACTATCGGGGAGATTGTGCTAGTTTCTGTTCAGTAAATATTCATTGAAACCTATTGTCTGAGTAGAAATATTTATACTTTCACATACCGTTGTAACCGTTCCCAGCTTCTTGTTCCTATGCTGAAAAAATAATGGAGATAGAGTATTTTTTTTAAAGAAAAGGAAATGCTGTACGGGGGATGTACAGTCCTACTTTGTGCATTATACATCACAGAACTATTTTGTATTTGCAGTTTGGAGTCTTTTCCTAAGTTCTTAGTTCCTACTGGTTCAAACAAATTGCAAATATGATGTCATATGAAGGTATACACGCCCTGTATACATTCCCTAATTTGCATAGGGAAGGGAGAAAAGGCTGTTGCCTGGACATTTTTATTGACACCTTATTTTCGTTTTGTTTGAAGGGACATACAGTTATTCATACAGCATATCCAACTGCAACCAGATGCATTCACATCTAAATGACAACTACATTTTTACAGTAACGTAGCATCCACAGAAACTGAGGATTGCCAGGCTTATGGCAAAGTTGCATCCAGCAACTTTTGAAATATTACAGTGAGGGGAAAAATATTTGATCCCCTGATTTTGTATGTTTGCCCACTGATAAAGAAATGATCGATCTATAATTTTAATGGTATGTTTATGGTGACAGTGAGACAGAATAACAACAAAAAAATCCAGAAAAACACATTTCAAAAAAGTTATAAACTGATTTGCATTTTAATGAGTGAAATAAGTATTTGACCCCTTCGCAAAACATGACTTAGTACTTGGTGGCAAAACCTTTATTGGCAATCACAGCAGTCAGACGTTTCTTGTAGTTGGCCACCAGGTTTGCACACATCTCAGGAGGGATTTTGTTCTATTTCTCTTTGCAGATCCTATCCAAGTCATTAAGGTTTCAAGGCTGATGTTTGGCAGCTCAAACCTTCAGAACCTTCCATTCTTGGGGTCACAGGCAGCATTCTTCCTCCTCCTCCAAACACGGCGAGTTGAGTTGATGTCAAAGAGCTCGATTTTGATCTCATCTGACCACAACACTTTCACCCAGTTCTCTGAATCATTCAGATGTTCATTGGCAAACTTCAGAAGGACCTGTATATGTACTTTCTTGAGCAGGGGGATCTTGTGGGCACTGCAGGATTTCAGTCCTTCACGGCATAATAGTGTGTTACCAATTGTTTTCTTGGTGACTATGGTCCCAGCTGCCTTGAGATCATTGACAAGATCCTCCTGTTTAGTTCTGGGCTGATTCCTCACCGTTCTCATGATCACTGAAACTCCATAGGGTGAGATCTTGCATGGAGCCCAAGACCGAGGGAGACTGACAGTTATTTTTGTATTTCTTCCATTTGCAAATAATCGCACCATTGTTACCTTCTCACCAAGCTGCTTGGCGATAGTCTTGTAGCCCATTCCAGCCTTGTGTAGGTCTACAATCTTGTCCCTGACATCCTTGGACAACTCTTTGGTCTTGGCCATGGTGGAGAGTTTGGAATCTGATTGATTGCTTCTGTGGACAGGTGTCTTTTATACAGGTAACAAGCTGAGATTAGGAGCACTCACTTTAAGAGAGTGCTGCT